GGACTCAAAAGACACAAATAAGTATAAAAAAAAAGGTGACCATAATATATATAACGCCAGAAAACCTGGCGCTATATAGTAACGGTAACTGCACCGTTAATGTATAGCGCCAGGTTTTCTGGCGTTATATACTGACACAGTGATATAGCGCCAGAAAACCTGGCGTTATATCCTTTTTTCCTGATCCCAGTAATAATAGTAGAGTACAATAATTCTAAAGCGCATAGTGCCAACTTATTTGGCGCTATATATGTAAAAAAAAAAACTTCCCGGCTCTCCATTTTCTATATAAAGAGGTTAGAATCACATAAAAATGCATTCAAAATTTTTTTTAACTCTTGTTGAAACGTCTGTTGTTGTTAAATTCTCCAGCATTTTTTTATTATGTCTGAAGAGCGTAGGATAAGAGTTTCATTATATTGGGGTGGTGAGGTTGTGATGGAGAATAACTCCGTGGGCTACAGTTTACCTGCTAAGTGTCATGTTAAATTGCCACTGACAATGGAGTACGATACATTGATATCGTTGTTATGCAAAAAAATGAGTGTGAGGAAACGTTCGGTGATATTTAAAGTAACCGGAAGATATCCTTATTCCGTCACTCCGCAAGGGGTTACTTTTTACTCGGAGTTTAACATCGACGATGATGAAACTTTGAGTGATTTTTTGAGGATTCCGGACGAATGTCGGGATTTTCTTGTAATCACAATGTTGGAGATGTACCTGAAGGTCGAAGACGTTCCAAAAAATGAGGTTGTGCGTAGTAGAGATAACCCCCAGTCATCGGGGGGTTATTCTAGAACAGTTTTTGCCGGACAAGTTCCGGATGAAAGAGTTATCTTTGACTTAAACTTATCACCGCCGGTGAATGAGCAGCGAGAAAATAATTTATACCCTGCTTTCCATAACTCACAAGACGAGTGGTAAATTTCAATTTTCATTTGTGTTAATTATGTATATTTTGTTGTATGTAATTTGTATTAACGCTCACATTATTTAATACGGGGGTTACGGC